AGGAACGCTGTTGTTATTACTCCTCTTGATTGTATTGTTTTCTTCTCGCCGTACCCAGCAGTGCTCAGAGCCCTGCCATGTGGTCCCCACGAAGCCTGGGCTCAGTTCCTTAAGTCATCTCGGTGGTCCTTTATTATTTCTTGTGCTGTTGTGGGGGCTGTTTCCTGCTGCCCACGGGACCTGTGAGACCATTCCCCTCTTGTGAGGTTAGGAACCGAACTCAGATCCTCAAACATGCCAGGCTTGTGCTCTGCAATCTGAAACTCACCCCTGTCCCAGTGGATTTTGATTTTCAGTGCTGGGGATTAAATCTAGATCTCCGACATGCAAGGCACACACATGGCCGCTGAGTCACATCCCCAGTTACGAGTGATGATTTTTTTTTTTTTGCTTTTTGGGTCACACCCGGCAATGCACAGGGGTTCCTTCTGGCTCTGCACTCAGGAATTACCCCTGGCGGTGCTCAGGGGACCATATGGGATGCTGGGAATCGAACCTGGGTTGGCTGCGTGCAAGGCAAACGCCCTACCTGCTGTGCTATTGCTCCACCCCCAGAGTTCTGTCCTGTCCTGTCCTCCCGTTGTTCATCGATTTGCTCGAGCAACCCCCCCAGAGTAATGATTATTTTTAACCCCATTTTCTGACGATGAGTGTTGAAGGTTAACCAGTTGGATGGTGGCCAAAGCTTACTCCTGGCTCTGCACGCAGGGGTCACTCCTGGTGGGCTTGGAGGAACGTATGGGGTGCTGGGGAACCAACCGAGTGGGCTGCGTGCAAGGCCAGTGCCCTGTCCACTGTGCTGCCTGGCTGACCTGCCAGTGCATTAACTCCTAAGTGACCGGCATGGACGCATGGAATTCACACTCAGATTTTTCTTGCACAGGCCATGCCAAGCCCCTGCTCTCCCTGCTGGCCCAGGTATTGGTCCATATGCCAGGCGGTGCATTGATGCTCCATTAAGCTCATACATCCTCCATTTTTGTTCTTTCTTTTTATTTATTACTTTTTCGGGTCATACCTGGTGATGCTCAGGGGTTACTCCTGGTTCTGCATTCAGGAGTTACTTCTGCATTGCTCAGGGGGACCATATGGGATGCCAGGGATTGAACCTGGGTTGGCCGCGTGCAAGGCAAACGCCCTCCCGCTGTGCTGACTCCGGCTCCGTACTTCCTCCCTTTCAGTAGACCTTACACCAGGCTTAATCTGCCCTCACCCATGCTATTTCTCCGTTGGCTCTTTCTCCTAGAGCTTTGCTGGTCCTTGTGTGCATGTGTAGCATTTGTCTTCCTCCTCCTTTCCTGGCAGGGTAGCACCAGCATCCAGGGAGAGTTGTTTGGAATGTGGCTTCCCTTCATGGTGGTCTTCGTTTCGTCTCTCACCTTCTTCAGCCCCGTTTCTTTCTGGGCCATGCCCAGCTGTGTTCAGGGCTTACTCCGCAGGGCTCGGGTGGTGTCAGGGTCCGCTGGTGCGAGGCAAGTGTCCTGCCCGCTGTCCTATGACTCTGGTCCACTACTCTGTCTCGTCTGGGTGGCTTAGCGGTGACTAGGGGGGCTTCTCTTCTGGTGCAGTGGGGTTGTGCTCCGTGGAACATGCAGTGACTCAGCTCCAGCAGTGGGAGACCTGCTCTTCAAACCCAGGGCAGAGCTCTCATCCAGTTGAGGGTGTTCTTTGAAGGGGTTGCACATGCTTTGGTCATTCACTGTGATGGACATTGTTTCCCCATTGTCCAAAATCCTCCAAATAATCAACCAAGTCACACCAAAGAGGATCACTTTGCCCTCGGATAGTGGGGGGACCGGAGCCCACAGTTCGGGGGCTCTTCAGGCAGACGGCCGGGCAACTTCCATCAGGTCCACCTGGAGGACTTGTGGTGAGTCTTAGGCCAGACTGTGGCCTTTACCGTCCCCATTTCAAATCCAGCTTTCAGTCTTTATGGGTCACTGCGAGTTTCTGATTGCAGCCACCTTTGCCCCTTGCTGCCCTGGCCACTGCCCTGTCCTCTGCCTGCCCCCCAGGCGGGGTTTCCTAAGGACCCCTCTACGTTCCTCCTCCTCTACCTTCCAGCCCCTCCAGGGCATCCCAGATGCTTAGCCTGGAGCCACGGTGCCCACCAGCCTCTCCCCTCCTGCCCGGGGGATTCTGTGGCCCCTGGAACACAGGTAGTATCCGCTTGGCCCAGGCTCAGCTGGCTCATTGCTCTGCACCTGTCCCTCTGCGGGGCCCTCCGCAGCCCTCGCAGACCCTTGAGCTCCCTGAGATTTGAAACTGCACCAACTGCACTGGGCGTGGTGGGCAACATGCCCTCAGTGGTCACTGCTAGACAGAGGAGACAAGGGCAAGGACCCTCGCTAAATAAGTGACCTTTGAACTAGAAGGAGGAGGCCAGAGTGATAGCACAACTGAGAAGGCCTTGCATGCGGTCGACCTGGGTTCGATCCCTGGCATCCCATAGGGTCCCCCGAGCACACCACCAGGAGTGATTCCTGAGTGCAGAGCCAAAAGTAAGCCCTGATCATTGCTGGGTGTGACCCCAAAAGCAAAATAATACTAATGATAATAATAATAATAACAACAACACTGTGGCACTGTAGCACTGTCCTCCCATTGTTCATCAATTTGCTCGAATGGGCACCCGTAACAACTCACAACAACAACAATAATAATAATAATAATTAAAAAATAAAATCTAAATCTAAAATAAAGGAGACCAGGACAGGGCTCACAATCTCTGCAGTAAGCAGGGCCACTTTCCAGCTGTCCTTCAGAGGACACCTCTTGGGGCTCTTGGGGGCCCCTAAGGGTCAGTTTCCACATCTCAGTGAACGGTTCCTGCAGCTCCTCTGAGTTCTCCAAACTCAGGCTCGTTTCTATAGCCCAGAGCCAAGTAATATGCAGGTCCATTGGCTGGCCTGTTCTCTGGGCCAGCCGGTCACATTCTCCATGCAAACTGCCCCGCTTGGCACGAGGACATCTCTGTCACAGGCCGTGGTGGCCTCCACACCGCAGGGAGAGACCCAGCAAGCGACTCCCCCAGCCAAGGCTGCGCGGGCCATTCCATGCAGTTGGTGCAGAATTTGACGCACCCTGAGGTCCCATATTCCGAGGGCTGTGTCCCGAGCTGTGCTGCTGGCCTGGGCTGTATTAGGGACTCTGGCCGGGGCCAGAAAACTCAGGCCAGAGAGAGAGCCCAGAGGACCAGGGAGGCCTGGCTTCCCCCAGGAAATTGCCCTGCGCATCACTGGGATGCATTGCACCCCACACCTCCAGAGGAGGGGAAGAGAAGCTCACACAGGTAGCACAGGGCATGGTGATGGAGCGAGGCCCTTTGTTCCCTAGCACTCACTTGTTCTCTGGGTTGCAGAATGCGGCGTCTGCGGAGGGAGTTCAGGGAGCTCGGGGCTAATGAGGTGGGAAGGGAGCCCGGAAGGAGGATGGAAGAACCTCCACAGTGGTCCAGCGCTGGGTGGGGGAGCGCATCCGCGGGGGAGAGAGCTGGACGTGCGAAGGGGTCCTGCATCCTAAACAAGCTGTTGTCTGTTTCCTCTCGAGTTTTTAAGGGTACAACTGGGAATTCCCCTCATTACCCAGGGTCAGATGAACCTTTCAGAGTCAGACCTTCCTCTCCATGCATTTTTGTGTATTATACTTTGGGCCAACTAGTGAGAAATGTTGATTAATTTCTGCTCCACCTCCGAGGAGACGGCTACACAGCTACACACTTGAAACAAACAAAACGAACAGCTCAGGTGTTGAGACCCTACAGGGTATCCATCAGGCACTGTGCACGCCACATCCCCCCCCCCCCCCCCCAGACCGTCCACCCTCGCTGCGGTGCGGACTCGGCCTCGTAGAGACAAGAAACTAAGGTTCAGAGAGGTCTGTTCGTGCCAGATCACCAGCCTTAAGGTGGTGGGGTGGAGATCTCGCCCCGGAACGGGCAGCTCACCAGCACGTGTGCTGCCGGACCTGCCGGTATCCTCCGTTTTCTGCCACTTGCAGGTGATCCGATGTTTGACACAGAACATCTGCTGTTTTATGCCCCCTCGCCCTGTACCTATGGAAAGCTTATTTGTTCAGCCTATTTAATTGGGGCTTCTGATGGAGAGAGAAAATAAAAATCAGAACACACTCAGTGGTGTTAACTCTCACCAGCCCTGTGAAAGTAGTGTGAAGGGTGAATGTGTTATTTTGCTTGTATAACACAGATATGTGTCTTCTATCTTCATCATAATATTCCCTTTTAACTTTGAATAATAATGGTTGTGGCTTTGACGCCTGCTGGGGAAAGGCACAGCAGTCCCGTGGGGCCAGGGACTTGAGGGAGGGGGGCCCAGGTCTGTATCGTGAGGGATTCTCAGTTTGGTGGGCTGGCCTGATCCCTGCCAGCTGCCTTTCTGGGCGCATTCAGCCAATCAGAGGCCGCGGGGCCGGTGTTCTCACCATCCCTTCCGGTCACCACTGTGGCTGAACATCGTCCCTTCGGATCCCGGAGAGTTCCCGGTGCAGCCCCCAGGTCTAGGGGGACAGTCCTGTCTCCTTCAGGGTGGGCGCTTTGTCCCAGGGCTGTTATGACCCCTGAAGGTCCAGGTGACATGCCCGGCCCCTCCATCCCTGCTCTGTGAGGAATCTACACTGGCCTTTGGGGGTCCCCCCAGGACCTTTGGGGTCTTCCCAGTGGCTGGTCTTCACTAGGCTCATCCCTCGGGGACTTACTGTGCAAGAGTCAAACCTGGCTCCCGCAGCCGGGCGTGGTGTTCGAGAGAGGATGGAAAGCACAGATGGTGCCTGTCTGAGGCAATTTATTTTCTTTCTCCATTTTAAGCACATCTTATGAAAAAAAAAATTTTTTTTTAGAGAAAGAGGAATAAAACAAGTGTCCAGCATATGTGTGTGTGTGTGTGTGTGTGTGTGTGAGTGTGTGTGCATGTGTGGTGTCGGGGGCCAGATGTTTGGGTATCTTGAATAACTCTAACGTACTAAACCTCCCTCCTCCTCCCCAGCCCTTTCTTTTCAGAAGATACATTTAGACAATCACCATTCACCTCCAATTCAAAAGATCTGCTGCCCAGTGACCCTCTCCTCCCAGGAAGAATATCAGCGCCAGGTATGGAAATGCAGTTGCCTTTGCTTCCGGCATGGGTTGCTTACAAATGCCTTGTTGTTGTTGTTGTTGTTGTTGTTGTCGGGCTGTGTGACTCTGCAGATCCTTTCGGCTTCAGTGTGATCCTTATTGCTTGGAAGCTGACAGTTTGGAAAAAAGTGGGAGGAACATGATCGAAGCCTCCACCAAAAGAATAAAAAAAAACAAAACAATGGAACCTCCTCCAAATCAAAATTAAACAGAGACCCCCGACAAGCCTTGGTCTCTTCCGGTGGCTGGTCGGGCCCTGCTGTGAATTTTTTTTCCCCCCTTTGCAGTTGTGAAGTCGAAACGGGCAGGAATGTGTTTCAGCGTGCCCGTTGTTTCACACTGGCAGCTGGGAAGGGCCAAGGAGGGCGGGTACAGACATGACCTTCATGGGCAATGCCCTGACCGCTCACCGGTTTCCATGGAAGTGCCCTCGCAAGGAGGGAGGAACGTTCCTTCCATCTTTATGTTTTGTGTGGGGGTCACTGCCAGGAGTGCTGGTGTGGGAGGCTGGGAGTCTCTCTCAGAGCTGGTCAGCCTGGGATGGGGTACGGGGGGACCGGGGACCAAACCCGGGGCCTGGCACTCACCAGGTGTGTGGCGTACCACTCGTTGCGGCCTCCCCCGAATTTCCTCTTCCTTCTGAGAGTCTCTGCGTAACTCCACCACATTTTTAAACCTCAGCATCCTGCAGGATTCTGTCCCAGCTCTTGCTTTTTGATTCCTGCTTTCTAGAACGTGTGTGTGATCCCTGGGCCCCGGGTGGGAGCTCCCCAAGATATCAAGCAGGTCATTTGAGAAGCCTGGCACTGGAGCCCGTGCCCCAGACTGGCCCCTGGCCGCACCCCCGCGCCCCCCTCCCCCCACCAACGCCTGCAGCCAGGACCTTGCCAGCTGCCTGGAGACTTGGGCCAGTGCCCAGGATGCGTTTGTCCGGAGCGCACCCCCTAGTGGCCGCGTGCCGGGTCTCTGGGCTCTTTTGTCCTGCGCTAGGGGCGGGTGGGTGGGACCAGCTGATGGCCTGGGGGGCAGCTGCAGGGGGCGGCGCTCCACTGCTCCACCGACTGGCACTGGGCCTCTGGGGAAGCGCAGCACCGAGTCCCATCTTCTTGAAGAATCCTGACCCCAGGATTGATAGCACAGTGGTAGGGCGTTTGCCTTGCACGCGGCCGACTTGGGTTCGATTCCCAGCATCCCATATGGTCCCCTGAGCACTGCCAGGGGTGACTCCTGGGTGCAGAGCCAGGAGTAACCCCTGTGCATCGCTGGGTGTGACCCAAAAAGCAAAAAAAAAATGAAAAAAAGAATCCTGACGGGGGTGGGGGGGGGTGGACTCGCAGACCGTTCCAAGTGGTTTTCTGGGAAAAGGGACCCCATTGCCCAGGCAGAGCCAGCTCCTCTCTGCCATCTGCCCAAGGTCTGGGTGGCCTCTGCCTGGAGCGTGGGGGTGGCCTGCCTGGTCCCAGAGAGGGGCAGGGCCTTCGGGTCAGCCGATCCTCAGCCTCTCTGGGAGGGCCCACTCCGGACCCCCCCCCCCCTCCCCACCCAGTGGCAGCCTTGACCCGTGTCTGTCCATCCCATCACCCTGCTAGTGGATTGCAACTTTGTAGTGTCTGCATCACTGTCCAGAACTGGTCAGAGCGCTGGGACCTGGTCACGACCGCAGGCTATGTAGGGTAGATTCGCAGAGACCCCACCCCCCCAACTCCACTGCATTCTCCCAGCCACCCTGGCTGGGCTGGGCTGGGCTGGGCTGGGCTGGCTGCATTTTAAAAGGAGTTTGTTGATGACGGGGGGGGGGGGGGGGGGGGGGGGGGGTTGGAGTGCGCCTCTGTGGAGCTGCGTGGAAGAAGGTTTCGCTGTGTTTGCCCCAAGGAAGTCCCAGTGAGATGAGTGGCTCACTTCTCAAAGTTTAGATCCTGCAAGGATGCTCCCGCTCCGTCTTGGAACTTCCCTGAAGCCTTTCCTGGGGCAGAGGGGTAGGCAGAATGACTTGAGGATAAGCAAGACGGACTTAAAAAACATTAGCGCCCCCCCCAGCCGGAAAATGTAAAAATAATAATAATAAATTTCAGCCAGGTGAAAAATGCTTTGAAACTTTAAAACTTCAAGTGCTAAGGACACCTCATGCTCATGACCTTCTCTCATCTGAGGATGGAAGGGCGGAAGGAACCCTCAGTCATGGCCGGAATCGTGGAACCACCCGTCTGAGTTAAGGGAAGACTGTGCTGGACCCTTCTCAAGAAACTGCCTTGCTCCAGTCTGGACGGTGATCAGTGGCAATTTTATACCTCCCATAACTGCTCCTGACCCCCACACACAAACCTTTAGCCACAGCTTTAGAGTTTTTAACTTTAGAGTTCGACTAGTTGCTGATTTTTATTTTTTTAATGTTACCTGGTGAGAAAAACCTAACTAAGGGAGGGAGAACTATTGAAAGCCTTCATGTGCCGTATCAAGGGTAAAATCCATAGTTCTGTGGCAGAGAGAGATCAGCCGGCCTGGTTATGACGGCCCCCTGCACTGTGACCCACGCTTGGTGTGTACACCATTTCTTTTGTTGTTGTTGTTGTTGTTGTTGTTTGTTTTTTGGTTTTTTTTTTTGCTTTTTTTTGTTTTTTGTTTTTTAAGGGCCTGTCAGTTGTACATTTTTTTTAAATTTTTTAATTTTTATTAGTGAGACACCATGAGGTACCGTGTTGTAGACTTACAATTTTTTGTGCTTGGGTTTCAATTGTACAATGATCAAACACCCATCCCTCCACCAGTGCCCATTTCCCACCACCACGGATCCCAGTATCCCTCCCACTCCCCATCCCCCCCATCCCCTATCCCACCCTACCACTGTGGCAGGGCATTCCCTTTTGTTCTCTCTCTCCTTTTGGGTGTTGTGGTTCACAAAAGAGGCATTGAGTGGCAATCATGTTTGGTCTATAGTCTACTTTCATCATGCTTCTCCCATCCTGGGAGGATCCTCCCAACACCCTTTATTTGGTGTGCACCGTTTCATAAGCCTGAAATCAGAAAACATATGAACCCCCAAGTCCACGTGGGCCCAGGGCTCAGAAAGGTACCACAGCCCTTTGCTTACTCAACACTTCTCTGCTAATTGCATGGCTGGGGTTAAGGACACTGACGATCCAGTGATGAGACTGAAGGTTCTGGGATAGACAAGACACTCGGATTCCTGTCCAAGATGAGGGGCAGCCAATTGCTGAGTCACTGGAGAAGATGGGCAAGAGAGAGTCACCAGGGTGGGGTGTTGACACTGCCCCAGGCTGCCGTATGAAGGGGCCACAGAGGCAGACAAGGGCTGGCCAGTGGTTCAGGGGAGACTGCTCAACTTTGCTGTGAACAAAGTTCTGGGGCCCAGAGAGCCGGCTTCGGTGACTCAGCAGAAAATTGTTGTTAGTGGAGAAATAGAATCCTGGGAGCCCCTAGAATTCTTCCTGGGGTAAACATGACTATTAACAGACGGTTTTTATTTGTGATGGACTTAGCAAACCTCTCCTTTCCGTAGATAACATGATGATAAATTTCTGCCCAGAGAATTAGCTTCGATTCCCAATTAGTAGAGCCCATCATGGGGGAGACTTATTCCGCCAGGTTCCAATGTAGTAAATCTTCTGCAGAAGGTGAAGAAACCCCTCAGCATCCACCCAGCGGAGCCTGAGGATGCAGCCAGAGAGACACTTTCCATCTGAAGCCTCTATCCGCTCCCCAGCATCTCTAGAGGAAATCCCGGGGACAGGCAAAGGGCAGTGGCAGTGAAGGCTCTGAGTGTGTCCCCTGCCCAGAGACACAGAGGCAGCAAGAGGGGTGAAGGGACAGAGGACAGGACTGGGGAAGCAAGGGTAGAAATGGAGAATGACCTAGACGACAGGCATCGAGAGAGACAGCTGTGCCCATCCCAGAGATGTGAACACACCCAGAGCTTCCCGATGGTCTGGCCGTGTGCGTTACACAGCTGCTCCCATCCCAGAGATACGAATACACCCAGAATTTCCAAGCGTTTATGGCCACCGTGCTCTCGAGGCTGACTTTCCCGAGGTCAGACAAGACTTCTTTACCTTGAATCAGTGCCTACTGCACATGTCCCAAACAAAGGCAGCGCCTGGGACCGTAGGGAAAGCGGGGGGGGGGGGGGCGGGGGGGGGAGAAATCCCTGCGGCTGGCCTCTTATCTTGAAGGGACACAGGGACCAAGTTTCTTTCAAGGATGGAAGGAAGGATGGACTGGGAGCAGCCCAGGGTTGGGCTGGTTGCGTCACTGACCAAAAAAAAAATGCTTCCCCGAGATGGGGCCATAGGTTTTCCTGGGTCTCACTGGCCTGAGCTCACTCCTGAAAGATTCGCATGCACTGAGGCAAGGCGCTGGGCTCTGGTGTGTCTCTGGGCTTGCAAAAAGATTGACCCGTTAGGTACTGGTGAACCCGCAACTCTTTCTGCTCTCTCGTCATTCGTCAGCAAGAAGAAGGGCTCTCCTGGACGTGCGCTCCATCTCTGGGTGCCCTGGCTTTCCTGTTGTGGAGTGCCAGCATGTCTGCTCCGTGTTAAGCCAGAAACCAAAGGCCCACCCGGCTCTGGGGGCAGGGACGTGGGCATCGCGGAGTCTTGGGTCTGGATGTGGCCGTTTTCACTTTCTGAGTGGGCTGAGTTCAGAGGCCACCAAACTGAACAGTGATTACATCGATAAATCCTGCTCCAGTTCTTTGCTCACTTTTCTTTAAAAATTTTTTTTTTCTTTCTTGTTGCTATATATTTTTTCATAAATTACAGACTAGAAGAAAAGATCAGGGCAGAGGGGTGGGATTTTATTTCTTGAAGGGCCTGCTGTGCCAATCAGGATTTGATAGTGAATAAAAAGACTAGTTTGGAACTGTTGGCCTTGTCCCCTGAGCACCGATAGTCATTTTCGCTCTTTTCTGCCCATCCATCAAGTACAAGTGGTTCAACAGTGGACACTTTTCTGGGATC